AGTCATTTTGTTATAAAATGTACTGTTAGTCATTTTGCTAAAAAATGTATTGTTAGTGATTTTGCCATAAAATGTATTGTTAGTCATTTTGTTATAAAAACTGTTAGTCATTTTGTAAAAAATGTATGAAAAGTTATTTTGCCAAAAATGTATTGTTAGTTTTTGCTAAAAAATGTATTGTTAGTGATTTTGCCATAAAATGTATTGTTAGTCATTTTGTTATAAAATGTATTATTAGTCATTTCACTAAATAATGTATTGTTAGTCATTTTGCTATAAAATGTATTGTTAGTCATTTCATTATAAAATGTATTGTTAGGAGTTTCACTATTTTCCCATAGCCGGGGTCCTAACAGGTACAATCACCCTGGGTCAGGGTGGACCTGGAAACAACAGCAATTAAGAAGTGGTTCCACTTTCCACTAAATCTCTTGATAAGAGCTCTTGCTATTAGATGTAGTTTATTGTCATACCCTGGACGACACAAAACAAGGAGACTGATGACAACACATACAGCTTTGCGATAATGCCAAAACTCTGAAAAGAGAAAGATAAGGAAAAGGCTTGTCAGCATCAAGTATTGCATTGATTTTGCAGCCAAGGGACTTGAACGATGCACAAATCAGAATAAAAAAACTGCTTACAAATCCAAATCCATGTTGACTGTTATTCAAGTCACTACAATCTCGTTAGGCACAATATGAGATTAACAATAACTAATAATAAAATAGAGCAATTATAACAATTGTTTTCAACTCTCTGCTTTTCACAAAACCGGACAAATAACCACTCATTATGACTCTATTGTCATTTGAATTAGCTTGCACAAAAATGGAAGGGTTCATTGTACATTCATTGTAATGTTTAAATCCTATTTTAATACCTTCATTATCAGGCTTATTTTTGCCAGTTGATGCCTAAAACCATAGATTTTATTTTTACTGTTGTGTTCAATCAGTTATGTGTCATGCGTGATACATGCTTAGGCAATCATGTATCTTTTGATACATGACTAACAAGATAGATTTTTCCAGCAGTAGGTTGCTATTTCTTCTTTCTCAAAGACTAGTTGCCATCCAACTATAGTCTGTCCCTATCCAAGTCTATAGAACCGGTATGTCCTGCCATGTTTACCCATAGCATCCATGAGAAGAAAATCATACCTTTTTTCCCAAAGATAGATTTTTCCAGTATTAACATGTCAGTAGACTAGTTGCCATATCAATGCCATGCATGAGACTGGGAGGAAGAGCTTTTAGGGGTATCATGTAAGTTTTGATACATGACTGACAAGGCAGATGTATTTTTTACATGATTTGACAAAGTATTTTTTTGCTAGGTTTTTTTCTGCAGTAGACCAGTTTGCCATTTAAGGCTTTAGAACCTGGTCTGTCCTGCTAATTATCCATAGCTGGGGGGAGAAGAAGAGGATTCATACCTTTCCCAAGGGTATAGCATGTAAATGAATGTATTCGACTGGAATGTATTTGACTGGAATTCGAACTCAGTTCTTCGAATTCTCAATCTGAACTGCTATTCATTACGCCACTGTTTTGTACAAGAGTAGAGGTTTATCCCTTGTTTCCTGTTTAGGATTGAGTTTCCGATCCCTTCTAAATTCTACTTCAACTCTATACTTCTAACATCTCTTAATTTCTTAAATTTTATTTATTTGGTTGGTGCATAATTATCAGGCGTTTTTGTCAGCGCGTTATTTGTTAATAAAAATTGCTGTTTTGTTTACTTTTTTAACAAACATATTATTTATTTTCAGGTTATAAAAATGTTGATAATCATAATCATTTAAAAATGTTATTGTTGAATTGTTATGTTTCTTTTTCATAATAAATATTGTTTAAAAACGCCTGATAATTATGCACCAACCTAATAACTAACTGAGGAACCGAGGAACAAGGAATAATAATAAAAATTACAAGTCTTCTCCTTTATCTTTGCCCAGACAATATCATAGATCAAACACAAATAAATAAGGAAAATATATTTATAAATAAGGAAAATATATTTATTCAAAATGCAAACCACATCTGAACAAAGGTAAATTTAACAAGCACTATCCACATATACATATTATTAGGTGTTTTTGTTGGCAAGTTATTGGTTAATAAAAATTGCTGCTTTGTTTTCTTTTTTTAATAAAAATATTATTTTATTTTCAGGTAATAAAAATGCATGTCAATAATCATATGCTCCAGAATAATCATTTAAATATGTTATTGTTGAATTGTTACATTTCTTTTTTCATAAGATTGTTTAAAAACGCCTGATAATTATGCACCAACCCAATATTTATGTTTTATTTTATTTTTTCCTCAATAGTAGTTGATATGTTTGCCTATCATCCAGTTTACACACCTACACGGTTTTCTTTTTTTAACAGGAGAAGAGGTTTTCTCCCTTATTTTCTGTTTAGAATTGGGTTTCTGGTTCATTCTAAAGTCTTTTTTCATTCTCCTTCACTCCAAGTAGCCCCTTGCATTTTAGCAGAATTATCACCTTGCTTGGGGTGAATTGATAAAAGAAATACTGCTTTATACAATGCAGCCTAGTGGGTATTAGAAGTCCCTTCACAGACAATCTGGGTCAATCAAACAATTTTTTTTGAGATATGCATCTCAATTCCCAACCTGGTTCGGTTTTTTTTTGATCCCAATGAACCTCATGTTGCATTGAACACCACACAGTGTAAAGTTTTTAAGCTCAATAGACCAGTGCTTTTCAAAGTGTCTGATATGGCAGACTGGAATTTATTTTCTCGATGGGTCATGTACTTGTAATATTTTGTGGTAAAATCAATTTGTACTGTGAACGATATATATATATATATATATATATATATATATATATATATATATATAAATATAAAAATAATAAAATTGATTTTTTTTTATCTTTCATTTATTTTGCAAAAAATAATTTAATATCAGAACAAATAAAATGTATTAAAAAATAAGCAATTTTTTTAACACAAAAACCAATATTATATAATCTTAATCTTTATAAATGTTTCCATAGCATGGCCTGGAAACTGGCCGCGTATGGGAGCTGATGGTTTGTATACTGGTGCTGGTCCACAGACCACTACTTTTAATAGAACTGCACGAGATTACACACAGGAATATCTCAAAAGTCTACCAAATCAACCAATAAAGACTTTTTCTCAAATATAACTGTCTTACAGTCTTTCATATTGATTGATTGATTTGTGTTTTACTGCTTATCAATCTCTTGCAGATTATTTATTGATTTGTCTTCATTGAATACTATTTTAGATTGATATTCTAATTATTATTTATATTGATTGATTGATTTGTGTTTTATGTCTTATCAACCATTTACAGATTGTTCATTTATTTATTTTCATTGAATACTATTTTATATTGACACTGTCATTATTATTTATATTAATTGATTGATTTGTGTTTTATGGCTTATCAATCATTTATAGATTATATATTGATTCATTTTCATTGAATACTATTTTATATTGACACTGTCATTATTATTTATATTGATTGATTTGTTTGTGTTTTATGGTTTATCAACCATTTATAAATTATTTATTGATTCATTTTCATTGAATACTACTTTATGTTGACACTGTCATTATTATTTATATTGATTGATTTGTTTGTGTTTTATAGCTTATCAACCATTTACAGATTATTCATTGATTCATTTTCATTGAATACTATTTCATATTGACACTGTCATTATTATTTATGTTGATTGATTTGTTTGTGTTTTATGGTTTATCAAACATTACAAATTATTTATTGATTCATTTTCATTGAATACTATTTAATATTGACACTGTCATTATTATTTATATTAATTGATTGATTTGTGTTTATGGCTTATCAATCATTTATAGATTATATATTGATTCATTTTCATTGAATACTATTTTATATTGACACTGTCATTATTATTTATATTGATTGATTGATTTGGGTTTTATGCCTTATCAACCATTTACAGATTATTTATTGATTCATTTTCATTGAATACTATTTTATATTGACACTGTCATTATTATTTATATTGATTGATTGATTCGTGGTTTATTGCTTATCAACCTTTTGCAGATAACTTAAAATCAGAAAAACATTTTTAGATTGTAAGAATATTTTTTTGTGTGATTTTTAGATTGTAAGAGGTATTTTGTATGATTTTTTATACTATGTTAGTATTTATTAAACAAATATCTCAAAACTTCATTTGCTCTAATGATTATATATAGAGTGACAGCAGATACTTAAAACATAAAATAAAATTCATGTCCTGTGCAAGGGTTTTGCACCTTCCCCACAATGTATGATAATGCGCCCCCCACTTTAGTACATCTCAATTGTCATAAGGTAGTTTTCATATAAAATACAAATTTTATTGTAACCTTATTATGTACAATAATGGATCATATGCAATATAGTTAAACAATGCAACTAGAAAAAATTTTATATCTATGATGTGCCCCCCCACCAACTTTTATAGATTATTTATTGATTCGTTTTCATTGAATACTATTTTATATTGATGCTGTCATTATTATTTATAGTACATCTAGTACATCTCAATTGTCATAAGGTAGTATTTATATAGAATACAGTAACGGATCATATACAATATAGGTGGAAAATTTAGAAATAGAATGTATTTTTAGATTGTAATAATTTTTTAGGAAATCATTTAGTGATAAAAGTCTTACTAATTAACCTATACCTGCATGAGAAGCAGTATGTTTATACCTTTCCAATGGGTATTTATATGTAATTGAATATAACAAACCAAAGTAGAATTGGAACTCAGCTTTCTGATTACCAATACTGAGCCATTAATCCTAACACTAGCTGCACATCAAAGCTTACAGCAGGTGGTGTTCCCAAGCAGTCACCCATGTAGGAACTGACCAGACTCAATGTTACTTAACCAGTGATTGTATGGAAAACAGTGTTTCAAAGTGATGTGGCTACACATCAAAGCTTACAGCAACTTGTGTTCCCAAGTGGTCACTCATCTAGGTACTGACCAGACTCAGTGATGCTTAACTTATGTGATCATACTGAAACCAGTGTTTCAACATGTGTCTACACACGCATGCTTACAGCATCTGGCATTCCTAAATGGTCACCCATCTAGGTTCTTCCAGGCTTGATGTTGCTTAACTTATGTGATCATATGGGAACTGGTGGCCACCCATCTAGGTAGATATTAGTATACAGGTTCACCTATTGTCCAGTTCACCCTCCTCCCTGATCTTTTGAACAGGAGTAGAGGTTTCTCCCTTGTTTCCTGTTTAGGATTGGGTTTCTGGTTCCTTCTAAAGTCTTTTTCATTCTCTTTCACTCACAGTATCCCCTTGCATCTTAGTGGCATTATCTCCTTGCTCAGGGTGAATTGATTAAAAGAAATACTGCCTTATACAATGCAGCCCAGTGGGTATTAGATGTCCCTTCACAGACAAGGTGTAATGGTTAGCAAGTTTGTTCTTGCTAGAACAATTACGACTGAGTTCAATCTTCACTGCATGCCTCATGCTTTCGGCCTTGTGCCACATCTAATTTACGCTTAGAAAATGACCACAGACGAGGTGGTCACTTAACTTTGGTGATTGTATGGGAACCAATGTTTCAACATAATATGGTCATAAGTCATAATCTTTCATAGGAACTTTACCAATATACAGGTGTTCGACAAAATAATTGGAACAGTTGCAAAATCCACTCCTATATTTCAAAGACCTATTATATCAAGAACTTTAACTAAAACTTCGTAATTCAGGTTATATCTATTGTAAATACGTTTATTTATCTAATTTACTGTCTTTGTCTTATTTATTTTTAGAATTTAGTAAAATTTAAGCTAAATGCATGACCTCTCCATGTTCGAAAAAGAGCAAATTGTTGGATCTCGCATGACAGGAGCCTCGATCACTAAGGTTGCTGAACTGTTTGGTTTTTCAAGAGCTACCATATCAAGAACACTGATGCAATTCAAGAAACAGGGAAAGACCTCTAGCAACCGTAGCAATTCGGGCCGGACTTGCAAACTTACTGACAGGGACTGACGTGCATTGAAACGCAATGTGACAAAAAATCATCAGACAAATGTGGCCAAAGTGACTTCTGCGTTGAATAACCATCTGAATAGTTCACTTTCTACTAAAACTGTTCCCCATGAGCTCCATAAGGCTGGATATCATGGAAGAGCCGCCGTGAGGAAACCTCTTCTCTCCACTCACAACATTCAAAAGAGGTTGAAGTGGTTGCAGAGATCACAATGCCTCGTCTGCAGACCAATGGAAGCAAGTCATATTCTCAAACAAGTCCAGTTTTTCTCCTTCCCAACTTCAGGGTGAGTTTATGTGTGGAGGCAGCCCAAAGAAGCTTACAACCCTGACTGCCTTCTTCCAACAGTGAAGCATGGAGGTGGATCAGTGATAGTTTGGGCTGCTATATCATGGAAATGTCTCAGTCCAATAGTTGCCCTGCATGGTAGAATCAACAGCAAAGATTACCTGAACATTTTGGGAGATCATGTTCATCCAATGGCCAAGACTTTATTCCATGATGGTGACTGCATCTTCCAAGATGATAATGCTCTGATACATACCGCTCGAGTGGTTAAGAATTGGTATGAAGAGCATGAAAGTGAGCTAGAACACATGGAGTGGCCTCCCCAATCTCAAGATATCAATATTATTGAACATTTGTGGTGTATTTTGGAGCAACAAGTTAGGATCCGCTATCCTCCACCATTGTGTTGCAAAGAGCTGGAGAAGGTTTTAATGGAAGAATGACTGAAAATTCCTCTGAATGAATTCAGGAAGCTGTATGATTCCATTCCTAGATGTGTTAAAGCAGTCTGTGAGGCTAAAGGAGGACCAACTCCATATTAAATAAATTTTCTTTAAATTTAACAAGTGTTCCAATTATTTTGTCCAACCCCTGTATGTACAAAAAAAAGGACGTACGTACATACACACCTTCATTCAACACTTTTGTATTCTTTGCATTTCATTGGCTCACACTGAAATAGGTTGTTGCTAATTGTACATAATTGTATATTTATTCTTACTTTTTTGCTTAAGGAAATTTCAATGTGTTATCCTATCAACTAAATATCCTTCACCGATGTAATGAGTCGTGTGATGTATAGAAGTTTCATTTTTATGGTGGATCTTAGCAACCGTAGCATATGAATTGCCTTTTCATTAATTGACTGATTGAAAATTCAGCTTTTTAATTAAAACAATTTATGGTTTCTCTTTGGCTTATCTGAATTGCTGGCTTCACTTTCCTTTTGCTTTGATACCATTAATAATTAAAATTTAAAAATTGTTTATTTCTGGGATAAAAACAAAAATAAGGTTTTGTTTTCAATATAGTTATTTATTTATCTTATAGTATGTTTTTTCTTTTACAGTAGTTCCTATGTGTTTTTCTTTTCTTTTTTTATTTTATTTGTTCTGTCTTTCCTTTGTTTCCATTTTCTGTATTCCTTCTGCTTTTTTATTTATTTCCTTTTCCTTTTATGTCTTTTCTTTATTTCTTTTCTATTTTTCTTTCTGTTTTTCTTTTACTTCATTTTTTTTATTCTTCCTATCTTTCCTTTATTTTGTTTTTCTTTATTACTCCTGTTTCTCCTTTATTTACTTTTTCTTTATTCTTTCTCTCTTTCTTTTATATTCTTTTTTTTATACTTTCTGTCTTCTCATTTATTTTCTTTTCCTTTCTTATTCTGTTTTTCATTCATTTCCTTTTCCTTTATTTCATCTGCCTCTTCTTTATTTTATGTCCTTCATTCTTTCTGTTTTCCTTTAGTTTCTTTTCCTTCATTCTTCCTCTTTTTCTTTTCTTTTTTCTTTATTCCTTATGTCTTTCCTTTAGTTTCTTTTCCTTCATTCTTCCTGTTTATCTTTTATTTTCTTTGTCTTTTCTTATTCTTTCTTTCATTCATTTCTTTTTCTTTATTACTTCTTTCTTTATTTTGCTTTTCTTTATTCCTTCTCACATTCCTTTGTTCTTTCTGCATTTATTTATTTTTTCCTTTTATTCCTTTGTTTTCTTCCTTTCTCTCTTTGCTTTTCTGTTCGTACTTCATCTCTTCTTTGTTTTCTTTCTTTCATTCATTCATTCTTTTTTCTTTCTTTCTTTCTTACTTTTTCATTCATTCTTTCAGTCTTTCTTTCTTTCATTCATTCTTTCTTCCTTTCATTCTTTCTTTAATTCTTTCTTTATTTTATTCTTTCTTTATTCCTTATGCCACACCTTTTTTTTTTCTTTAAATCTTGTCTTTTCTTTATTTTATCTTTATTTTTTCCTGTTTATCTTTTATTTTCTTTGTCTTTTCTTATTCTATCTTTCATTCATTTCTTTTTCTTTATTACTTCTTTCTTTATTTCTTTTTTCTTTATTCCTTCTCTCATTCCTTTGTTCTTTCTGCATTTATTTATTCTTTCCTTTTATTCTTTTGTTTTCTTCCTTTCTGTCTTTGCTTTTCTGTTTGCACTTTATCTCTTCTTTGTTTTCTTTATCTTTTCTTTTCTTTCTTTCTTTCTTTCTTTCTTTCTTTCTTTCTTTTCATTCTTTCTTTCATTCTTTCTTTCTTTTTTTAATTCTTTCTTTCACTTTTCTTGTATTCTTTTTTCTTTCCTTTTCATTCTTTCTTTCATTCTTTCTTTCTTTCATTGAATCATTCATTGATTCTTTCTTTCTTTCTTTTATTCTTTTTTCTTTCTTTTTCATTCTTTCTTTTTCATTCTTTCTTTCATTCTTTCTTTCCTTCTTTCATTGAATCATTCATTGATTCTTTCTTTCTTTCATTCATTGATTTTTTCATTGATTCATTCATTGATTCTTTCTTTCTTTCTTTCTTTCATTCATTGATTCATTTATTGATTCTTTCTTTCTTTCATTCATTGATTTATTCATTGATTTTTTCTTTCTTTCTTTCTTTCTCCTAGTTCTTTTGTGTTTATTCCTTCTTTCTTTCTTTTCTTTTTATTTCTTCTGTACTTCTTCCCCTTTTTATTTCTTCTCTGTCTTTCTTTTCTTTTTTATTTCTTCTCTCTATCTTTCCTTTATTCTTCCTAACCATATATCAAATTTCCTAATACCTTTCCCTAATTCTCTTCTGCACAATGAAAGCTCTTCTTAGAATACAATCTCTTGACATCCCTTTACTCCTCCTGAGCATTTTCTCCCCCATATCCTCTTTACCTTACCCCTCCATACTGTTAATCACCCACCTAGGCACTCATTTTTGCTCATCAATTGTCCATCTAAACATCTTTGTCCTTTATATCTGTTCGCCATTTATCTTGTTTTGTTTAGGCTTCAAGGCGGCATATCCTTTCTGACCCTTCATTTTTCATGCAAAACCCTGGATCCATTCACTCACAGTTTTTCCCTTAGTTAATGGAAAAATATTGTTCTAAACCATCTGGCAAGAACAAAGTGATAATGTTTTTAATCTTCCAAGCAGCAGATTTTTACAGGTTCTCACCTCAGAAAATAAGACGGTGAAAAGCGAAATACTTAAGAAAGGAGGAGAAGAAAGAGAAAGGGAAAAATAAAATGAAACATTGGATGAAGAGGAGGAAAATAAAGCCTTTCTATAGAAAGAGATGCCAAATAGTTGTGCAGAGAGAGAGAGAGAGAGAGAGAGACAGAGAGAGAAACTTACATGAATAGAAAGAAACAAGGAAGTAGCAATAATTAGAGAAGAATGATGAAGAGGAGAAAGATGAAAAATAGAGAGAGAAAGAGAGAGAGAGACTTAGATGAATAGAAAGAAACAAGGAAGTAGCAGTAGTTAGAGAAGAATGATGAAGAGGAGAAAGATGAAAAATAGAGAGAGATAGAGACTTACATAAATAGAAAGAAACAAGGAAGTAGCAATAATTAGAGAAGAATAATGAAGAGGAGAAACATGCAAAATATTGTGTCCGAACAAAAGTTGGTAGTATTTTAAAATGAATATCAGATAATATTTCCATAACTGGAAATAGATTTATTTAACTATATTCTTTATTTCTTTTATCTGGTCTTAATTTCTCCTAGCTCAATATTATTTCTTC